AGGCAACCAGAAATGATGGGATTTTATGCGACCACATATGCTGACATGCTTTGAAGCAACCAGAAATGTTGACGGGTTTTTTTGTCAACCTGAATTGGTGATGGGATTTTAGGCGAGCAGAAATTGTCACGGGAATTTAGGCAACCAAAAAATGGTGACAGGATTTTGTGACGAGAAATGGTGACGGGATTTTACACTAGAGAAATGGTGACGGGATTTAGGCGAGCAAAAATGGTGATGGGTTTTTTGGCGACTTGGATTGGTGACGGGATTTTGTGACCAGAAATGGTGATGGAATTTTATGCGACTAGAAATGGTTATGGGATTTTAGATGACCAGAAATAGTGACGGGATTTTAGGCGACCAGAATTGATGGGATTTTAGGTGACCAGAATTGGCGACAGTATTTTAGGCGACCAAAAATGGTTATGGGATTTTAGGCGACCAGAAATGGTGACGGGATTTTAGGCGACCAGAAATGATGGGATTTTATGCGACCAAATATGCTGACAGGCTGAGGCAACCAGAAATGGTGACGGGATTTTAAGCGAGCAGAAATTGTGACGGGATTTTAGGCGAGCAGAATTTGTGACGGGATTTTAGGCGAGCAGAAATTGTGATGGGAATTTAGGCAACCAGAAATGGTGACAGGATTTTGTGACCAGAAATGGTGACGGGATTTTACACTAGAGAAATGGTGATGGGATTTAGGCGAGCAGAAATGGTGATGGTTTTTTTGGCGACCTGAATTGGTGACGGGATTTTAGGCGAGCAGAAATGGTGACGGGAATTTAGATGACCAGAAATGGTGATGGAATTTTATGCGACCAGAAATGGTGACGGGATTTGAGGCGACCAGAATTGGTGACGGGATTTTAGGCAACCAGAAATGATGGGATTTTATACGACCAAATATGGTGACAGGCTTTGAGGCAACCAGAAATGGTGACGGGTTTTTTGGCGACCTGAATTGGTGACGGGATTTTAGGAGAGCAGAAACGGTGACGGGATTTTAGGCGAGCAGAAATGGTGACAGGATTTTGTGACCAGAAATGGTGATGGAATTTTATGCGACCAGAAATGGTTATGGGATTTTAGATGACCAGAAATGGTTATGAGATTTGAGGCAACCAGAATTGGTGACAGGATTTGAGGCGACCAGAATTGGTGATGGGATTTTAGGCAACCTAAAATGGTGGGATTTTACGCGACCAGAATTGGTGATGGGATTTTAGGCAACTAAAAATGGTGACAGGATTTTAGGCGACCAGAATTGGTGACGGGATTTTAGGTGACCAGAATTGGTGACGGGATTTTAGGCGAGCAGAAATTGTGACGGGATTGTAGGCAACCAGAAATGGTGACAGGATTTTGTGACCAAAAATGGTGACGGGATTTTATGCGACCAGAAATGGTTATGGGATTTTAGATGACCAGAAATGGTTATGGAATTTTAGATGACCAGAAATGGTGACAAGATTTGAGCCAACCAGAATTGGTGACGGGATTTTAGGCAACCAGAAATGACAGGATTTTGTGACCAAAAATGGTGACGGGATTTTATGTGACCAGAAATGGTTATGGGATTTTAGATGACCAGAAATGGTTATGGGATTTTAGATGACCAGAAATGGTGACAGGATTTGAGGCAACCAGAATTGGTGACGGGATTTGAGGCGACCAGAATTGGTGACGGGATTCGACCATAAATGGTCACAGAATTTTAGGTGACCAGAAATGACGGAATCTTAGGCAACCAGAAATGATGGCATTTTATGCGACCAAATATGCTGACAGGCTTTGAGGCAACCAGGAATGGTGACGGGTATTGAGGCAACCAGAAATGGTGACGGGATTTTAAGCGAGCAGAAATTGACGGGATTTTAGGCGAGCAGAAATTGTGACGGGAATTTAGGCAACCAGAAATGGTGATGGGATTTTATGCGACCAAAAATGGTGATGGGATTTTACGCGACAAAAATAGTGACAGGATTTTAGGCGACCAGAATTGGTCACGGGATTTTAGGCGACCTGAATTGGTGACGGGATTTTAGGCAACCAGAAATGATGGGATTTTACACGACCAAATATGCTGACAGGCTTTGAGGCACCCAGAAATGGTGATGGGTTTTTTGGCGACCTGAATTGGTGACGGGATTTTATGCGACCAAAAATGGTGATGGGATTTTACGCGACAAAAATAGTGACAGGATTTTAGGCGACCAGAATTGGTCACGGGATTTTAGGCGACCTGAATTGGTGACGAGATTTTAGGTGACCAGAAATGTTGATGGGATTTTAGGCAACCAGAAATGATGGGATTTTACACGACCAAATATGCTGACAGGCTTTGAGGCACCCAGAAATGGTGATGGGTTTTTTGGCGACCTGAATTGGTGACGGGATTTTATGCGACCACAAATGGTGATGGGATTTTAGGCAACCAGAAATGGTGACAGGATTTTGTGACCAGAAATGGTGATGGAATTTTATGCGACCAGAAATGGTTATGGGATTTTAGATGACCAGAAATGGTGACAGGATTTTAGATGACCAGAATTGGTGACGGGATTTAAGGCGACCAGAATTGGTGACGGGATTTGAGGCGACCAGAATTGGTGACGGGATTTTAGGCGACTAGAATTGGTGACAGTATATTAGGCGACGAAAAAAGGTTAAGGGATTTTAGGCGAGCAGAAATGGTGACTAAGATTTTAGGCGAGCAGAAATGGCGACGGGATTTTAGGCGACCATAAATGGTGAATGGATTTTAGGCGACCAGAAATGGTGATGGGATTTTAGGCGACTACAATGAGGGCGGCGAAGATCGTCACAAATCGTGGGTTTCCATATCACCTTTTTGCCGCCTCTTGGCGCAAACGTGGAGCGACGATGTTTGACCACACGGAAAGCCACGTTGCTGTGCGTCGATTGGCGGGCCCCCGCGATGGTTTGCGACACATCCAGAGTTTAGTTCGTGCGTTGCCACCCCACAATGGCGTGCAAAATGTGGCCGTCTAAAGCAGTGCTTCTCAACCGGGGGCATGCGGGGGGGGGTACATGGCAGTGTTCCAGGGGGTGCTTGAAGTGATGCATTCAATTATTTAATACGTGAGTCATTGGTGAATAATCATGTATGAATCTGCCAATATAACTGCAATAAAATTTTAATACATATGGTAACCTAGACCGATATAAAAGAGCTTTCTCAACTCACTGATCGTCAACAAAGTTGCTTCTAAGAGTAACCAACAAGCGTGGACAAATTGCGTCATGCATGCTGAGCGTCCATTGAATTTTGTATTCGCTTACAGTTACTTAGCTAGTTAGGATACCTCACAAAATAGACCATTGGTTAAAATATTGATGTTCATTATTCATACATTTACTTATCATGTATGAATAATTAACATACTCGGTTAAAACACAATTTAACGAGGGGGGGGTACAGCAGTAGCCCAACAAGGTTGAGAAGCACCACCTTTCAGGACTGGAGCGATTGCTCCCCAGAGTGGACAGTGTCTGTCCTCGATTTGACCTTGGCAATCATCCTCCGGAGACGTTCTTGTCAAGTTAGGATCCAGCCAAGGGCGATGACGAGGTCCGTCGGGTGTCGGTTTGTGACCTCGGTTCGTTCCAACTCATACTTTTAGGGATGTCTGTGCGCACCAACTGCTTAGGTGGAAGGTTGACGATCATATTTTTGTGTTTTTGGTTGGGAGAGAAGTGAAAAAAGATTCCAATGTTGTGAGAACTTCATTCTGGGTGGCCTTGAGGTCTGGCAGATTGAGATCGGTGCTTCGGGCAACCGATGTCCGATCAGTGGCCGACACAGATGAGCACGAGAACACGACAGGCAGGTCACGGTCGTGTACCCGTTGACTAGTGACGGTGCAAGCACGGACTCTTGCGGGTCGAGGGGCGGCTGGATGGGTTCCCTACGTAAGCGGTTCTTAACCTGGGGTGCACGCATCCAATAGGGGTGCGAGATGCCCTTTTTGGGGGTACGAGAAATGCCAGATTTTTTTAGAAGGTAAATCACCTAAACAACTATTTTGTTTCATCAAACCCTACGTATTTATTCACAATGTATTTTTTTTTTACGATCGAGAATCAAAGGGGTGCAAGGCTGCAGTAATGTTGAATAACCACTGCAATGAGGACACCAAACCTGCGGCGGTTCGTAAGCAGCGCAAGCAGTGACTTCGCATCGAGTGCTTCTTGATCAGAGGGAAAGCGTTGGAATGGGGAACATTGGGGAGGAGAGGCCATGGAGGACGGTGAAGACAGCGAGTGATCTTCAGTAGGTCGGGAATTAGATTGGGAGATAGATCTGAGGGTTGGAATTCTGTCATTCATTTGCCAAGTTGTCGAGTATTCGATTTGCATTGGATTTGTCATCATATACTCACGCGGACAATGTTGATAGCTACTGCGGTGATGCATGGAAAGACAATCAGGGAAAATGTATGTTATTCGGAAGTAAGATTAACTTGAATATTGGCAAAACAAAACCAAAGTGACTAATTATTTCCTCTTATTTCTGACAATAAAAGTTTAAATAATTGGAAATCTGTACATTGATACTACTGCATGGTGTTTTTTTTGTCACAAATACAACCTCATAGGCCACGATTTTTTTGTATTTAAACAGGTAAGCGCCACTTAGCAATGTAGCTCTTTTTCATAAGCGACCTGGCCACAAACGATAGCTCAACGAAGTGACTTACCATGTGGAAATGTATAGTAGCCAAATACTCTAAACGCACGTTGATTCTAAATGGAGGGAAAACCAGAAGTACCTGAGAAAAATACACGCGACCACGGGGGGAGATACACACGCAAACTCAAAATATACAGCAGGCGTCCGGGTCGAGGTTGAACCCACGACCTCATGCATACCAGGCGAGGTAGTTAACATCTCCTAGCCACCGTGGCGCCCTTACATCGCGAGAACCGCCGTTTGACTGTGTTCCGCCGCGCCTCCCCGTGGCTCGCAGGGTCCCGACTGCTGCTCGGACTTCTCCATCTCGTTCCACTTCATGGCGCCGGAGTGGATGTACGCATTCGAGTACTTCGCCTACCACCTGCGCCCATACGGCTACCAGCATCGCCCCACGCCCATTCGCAGAGATTATTTGTGGGACTCGTATTAAGAACTCTTTATGTGAAAGTAATCCGTGATCAAGCGGCGGAACTGCTTTTTGTGTTTAGTTTGTTTTCCTTTCCACCGCGCACCTCCGATTAGCGCGGTTGGCTACATACGATGTGAAAGAAGATCAACATACATACATACACACATAAAGACCCATACACCCATATGCAGACCCATAGTCTCACACAGAGACCCATAGACTCACACAGACACCCATAGACTCACAGAGACCCATACATCGAAAATCATTTCTTTAGAGCTTATTTTTGTGTTTAGTTTGTTGTCCTTTGCCCACACCTCTGATTCGTTTGGTTGGCTATGTACAGTGCAAAAAAAGTTCAACATACATACGTTGATTGCATACATTGAAAATACAGATTTGGGACGTCATCTTTTTCACCGCAGACCAAATCCGGACATGTTTCTCAGTCAGCATGGGGTCTACCAACACTGTGCAGTATTCTTCAATAACGTTAAACACAATACCGGTACCAGATCTCAGCACAAATCAATTCTTGCCACCTGAACTGAGACACCAATTCCCCCACTGCCAGCCAGGTGGCAAGCCTACAAACAAAACCCTAAATACAGCGGAACAATTAAAATCGGTTTTGTGGCGGTGGGGTAAAAGCGAAATTGTAGCTCGGCGAAGTAAATTTTGAAAAAACTATTTTTACAAAAGACTGAAATTGTTATCAGATGTAGTTTCACTGCCTCAATTTAACACACAGAGGACAGTCAGGGGCATTAATTGGGGACTTCGTTAGCAGCGGGCGGTTGCGTGGAGGGAGCCAATTTTTGCTACTGTGCGGTGGCATCAGAAAGTCACCAAACTGCCAAATGACAAAACGCGCAGGCGTAGAGAGCCGTGGCCTTGCACGAACATTACGTTAACACCAAGCAGGGAGTGGCGGCACACGGACCCTCCACCCTGCAGTTTGGAGGCAAGGGTTGGTGGATCATGCAGAGATTTTGTTGAGTTTCCAAAACTGGCAGGAGTTGCAAGGTGGCAAGTGGGTTGACGAAGCAATCTTTGCAGGCGATTTAGTGTTGTCCCCCGGTATGCGGAGGGTTTTAGGGCACCGCAGGTTCCTTCAACATGCAAACAACATTCCTGAATAGCTGCCAAATGTCACGATGCAGAACCCTCCTGAACAACAGCATTGGGACTCACCGATGCATTTCTGGATGAATAAATGACATCGTGATTCGGGTACAAAACCTACAAGAGCACGCCCAGTGTATAACTCAGATGCACAAGGGAATCAAGGACTTGTCATGTTCTCAGCCGAATATTAATGATGAATTCTTAAAGAGATGTAGAGATGTGCCTCCGAGGTGAGAGCGCCGAGCCGAAGTTGTGGAGCTCCCGGGTCAAAATACGGTTTACAGCCACCTGTGATTAAAGCACGTTCTCAAGTTGCGTCCCATGCTCTCAGCCCAGTCAACAATGGAAGCATAAAAAAGCCATCGTGTTAAAAACATATTTTGAACTAATTTAGATAAATTCCAGCCACGAGATCACAATTTTATTTTACTGTCGTGCAATGAACAACACCATAGCAGCGTATGGGAAAATGCAATCCCGTGGGTGAGCGGGGTGAAGTAGCTGCTACCTGCAGGGTTTAGAGGGGCTTGTGGGCACGACCCTCACTGGGGGTCGCGCCACTCTGCAAGCGTGTGAAAAGCATTGTTGCCTGACGTAATGCCAGTAAGCAAGCAGGGAATAAAACTTGGAAAAAATGAACAACGCTTGCATGCACTTAGGGAGGTTAGTTAAGTATATACCGAGGTTTTACTGTGACGTTGCCATTGCACTGCATCTGTGGGCGCCAACGCATATAGAACCGTGTGTTACGCAGCACTATTGTTTGGAAAACGCTTGTGGTGTAGGGCTCTAAATAACGCATCAACCTCGATTATCTTTTTAATTAAGAATATTTTACAAAGTACTTCGGTGTGCAAGCATTTTGGCAGCTTTGAAATCGCAAATATTTGCTGCAGCAAAAGACAAATTACTTCAAACCAAACGACCGTACTTGCCGAAGACAAATCAGGGGAATGCCTGCCGACAATCACCACAGGACGCATCGGCCATCGCTTTAAGGCATCCAGTTGCCCTTGGAAACACTAACACAGACTTCTCAACACGTAGCAGCAGAAGCCGCAGTAGCAGAACGCAATGACGTCCTGTGAACGGATCGTCCACTCCCACCAATTTTTAGAATGTATACGATTGTTTCCGATGACGTTTGTCGACTACGTTCCGGAACGTTCGGCGACCAATGGGGGAATCCATCCAGTGGAGGCTGTCGGAAGACGAGTCCACGCGATCGTCTGCCACGGTCAGCATTTCCGCAGACGTCCAGAAATACACTCCACACGTTCAAAACCCAAACATCCGCACCTCTTAGCTTTGACATTCCTCCTCCTCGAAGACACTGCTGGTGCAACCATGAACCATGTCAGAACATCAAGAGGCCGAGGAGCACATCTCCTTCATGAATGGAAAGACAAGCCACAGTCATGCGATCGTGGCCATGCAACCCAAACTACTGGACCATACAGTAAACCCACTGTGGTCTGTGCTGCTTCAATCGAGGAGGAACAGTAACAAAACGGCACAAACTCTCTCTCTTGAAGCCCTCTCTTGGCTAGCAAACCTCGACGCTGGCATTCAGCTCCTGAACACATTGCTGCTGCCATCGTGCGACAGAAACTGGCGTGTCATTGGGGATGGATACAAGAGGCGTTGCAGGATGCTACTGGTTACGCTTAGGATCACCTCGTTGACCTGCAGCTCAAAGCAAGCCAATGCAAACACCTTTATACTGCCGATTGGCACCTCGCTTTTAAAACAGAACTTAGTAAAAGCCAAGAGGTTCTCCATTAACCATACAATTTTGCGAAGGAGTCAATTACTTGGAACAAATGTTCCTTCCATGCACTAAGATGAAATGCTGCTTTGCCAACAGCGCCAGATTTCCGACAATTGCGAAGTAGGGGCGCATTCTGTGGACAAAGTTAATGTGAAAAGCAATCGTGTGAAAATGGAAACGCAAGGAAATATAAAATGTCAAATTTCCCATGTCTCTGTAAAAGCTGCGCGTCATGGATGGACTGTTGTAACGGTATTAAAAGTGAATTTTAAAGGTGCGACTGAAGACTGTCTTCATGTACATGTTTGTAATCGCTATTTGATGATGTACCAGACTGTGTTGGTGATGGCGAGTTATGTTATGTTGAAAACCAAGGTGAAACGATCACAACCACACCTCAGTCGCATCCACCCTGCCATCAGATCTGCACAAATTGCAGGCAAAGCCTGGCCTCTTGGGCCCATGCTTACAGAACCGCGATGCTGCTGTGCAATAAACGCAATCCACCGGCATCAAACTTCGTACGTTTATTTACATACAATGCTACAATATCCAGCAAGCTCTCAAGATTAACTCAGTTTATATACTGTACAATAAAGCCACATAAATTCAGTATAGAAAAACTGGACACTGCAAAACACGAAATAGCCTATAACATACTCTATATTACATTTCAGTGCTTCCAAACATTTTCCAAATGTATCAATTATAGCTTTAGACTTGCTAGCATTCGATGTTTTTAATTGTATTGATTTTTTTTGGCATGAAAACATTAAACGAGTTGTTATTTTAGATTAACATGTGCCGATATCTCTTGTATTGATCTAAAATATAATAGATATCACAGTACACAAATGTTACTAAACTGACACCACAAAACTTAATGTTGAATGCTAGCAAGTGTAACAATAACATCCATTTGTTCATAAACAGTGCAGCATAAAAAGAGCAAAAAAACTACATTCTTATTTTCCATTGCACATGTGATTAGTCTTATAAAATACTTCGCGTAAGTTTCTCGACTGGTCAGTTCAAAACCATAGCAAATAAATACAGTACGAAAAAACCACACCACAGAAAGGCCTCAAGGGTGCACAGCGTCCTACACTGAGCAATGGAATATTGCAACAGGTTTTGCTTGTAAATAATGAGCACTACACAAGTCACCATTGCAGACTGCAAAGCTTTGCGTAGCTCCCATAGACGTAACGGTACTTATACACTGAAACACTGAACTGTAAAATATGCAGAGTACACCGTAACCTCCTACAAAGCAACGTGTCACACGACTGTCTTAGACGGGCTGTGTACATAGGCTGACGGATAAACATTGCCGGTTACTGATTTTGCCACTGAGCACTGGTTATATGGAAGAGAGTGGCACACTGGCACGTAACTTAGTAACAGAGGTGTCTATGCCCTTTTCTCACTACTAAATGCAAAGACCACAATAATAGACGGTATTGCGGGAGAAGACAAGAGTCTATTGTTCGTGGAAGCGTGTGCGTGGAGAGCTCTATTATCGGATATGTGTTCTCATACAGGAAGAAACAACCGGGCAGCACATTCTGGGATAGGCAATCTTAGCAGCAGGTCCCTTTTAAAGGTTACAGTTCTCAAGTTATGATTAATGAGTGTGGGTTCTCTCACGTCGCGTTACGCACTTCTGGTCTCCGCCGATCGTCCTTGGTCCAACTGCGAGGGCGAGGAGCTGCTGTCGGGAACGGCCACTGCCGATTCGGACGGTTGTTCCTTCAGCTTGTTTCCATCTGCGGGCTTCCTGATGAGCGCCTCCGACCGGACCGGTGCATTAGAGGAGACAAAAACTATCTTCGGTTTGGGCTCTTCCCGTTTCTTGGGCTTGTCCACAGAGTTGCCCTTAGACCGCTGCTTGTAAAATTTAAAGTTGACCTTCGGTTGCCTGTCCTCAGGTTCACCGATTTGAGGCCTCACTTCTGCGGCGCTTCCCACAGTTGCCGACTGAGGCGCCGTGTATTTGATGACGGTGGGCACTTCTTTTATAACCGGCAAACCCACTGAGAGATTCGCGACCTCCACTGTTTTCTTTTCCTCGGAGGCGGGCAGCTCAAACTTGGCCTTCTTCGGAGGTGGCCGAGGGGGCGGCGAAGCCTCCGCGCCCAGTTTGGGTTTGCGACCGCGCTTCCTCTTCGCCAGCATGAGCTCTCCTGCGGCGAGCACGGCGGCGCTCGGGGGAGGAACGCTCCCAACTCCGGTGTGCCCCTGCGCCGGAGGGTCAATGGCTGGCTGGCTGGGTGGTCTGCCTGG